TGATGATCAGCATGAAGATATCAAAGTACGTTATCCGCTTCCCCGGAATCGGTGGAGTGTCGAGATCTTGTTTCGGTGAAAAGACGCAGACAACGAAATGGCTAGTGTACACTCGAGTGTTTAAAGTATTTTTAATAATATATGCTATATATATATGCTCTCTATAATTTTCTCCGATTTTCTCCGAAATTTCAGCTAGATTGGTTCATTCTCCGCGGTTTCGCGGAATTTTCTCAATTTCTCCGAATTTTTCTACATGTTGGTGAATAACCCCATATGTGTTTAAAAAACATATCATGAATAACTTCATTAAATGATGAAGAAGCAGTATGAAAAATCATTCAGAATAGATTGCTTTTAAACGATGTATTGATTCGTCGCGGAATCTGCTGAGAAAATCATTTGTTTTAGGCAAAAGGAGGGGGTCGATTGAACAAAAAACACCGGTCAACACTCATACCGATAAGAGCTTTCAATGTGAACTCTAACTGCTCAGATACAGCAAAATCACTCGATTTTGTTATATTTATTATTCGAGTAACATGTGTTTACATCTCAGCTGAGATCTCAGTAATTTCGGGAGAGTTGAACTATTTATGTATGTTCGTACCTTGAACAAATTGATGATCAGGGTCTGCCATTTCAAAACTTTACGAATTGATTCGGTCTGAATACAAGATGAGAGCCGTGTCTCTTCACATGAGCAGCTGACTATTGATGTCATCTCTGAAAACAAAAAGTTGGCACATGCGTTTTCCAGCTTTTTCGAATTCGCCGCATTTCTTCTGCAATGCCTTCACATGTTATCATTATTTCCCGTCTTTTATTGTTAGGTGAACGATAGAAGATAATAGGTCATTATCAGATAATTCCCTGGTTGTCTGTTCTACCTCTTCTCTATTGCGACACTCATCATCTGACCCAGCCTATGTTCATTCAGTTCATTCTAGTCCCCGTTTGTCGTATTCTGTCACGTAGAACACTCGCAATGGATACTCCATCGATCGATATTCAGAGTAGGTGTTGCTATCAGGCTTCACATAAATAAATTGGTTTTTTCAGATATTAGAGCAAAATACAACAACTCCCAAGAGCCATATCTGCTCGAAGAGAAGCTCCCTACTACTGATCCATTCTCCCTTTTCGATATCTGGTTCCGTGATGTGGCATCTCAATCTGATTTGACATTTGAGGAAATCAATGCGGTCTCATTGTCAACTGTCGGAAAGTCAGTTCAAAACTTAGTTTACCTTCAACACCTTTCTTTTCAGGGATCTCCGCCCGTCGTCGAGAATGGTCCTTCTTAAAGCTTACACACCAACTGGCTTCTCTTTCTTCACGAACTATACTAGTAGAAAAGGAAATCAGTTAAAAGAAAATCCGAACGCCGCTATGCTTTTCTACTGGCCGAAAGTAAATCGCCAGGTTTTATATAGTTCCAGAGTTTCCACCTAAATGACTACTATTTTGAAGGTGAGAGTGGAAGGAGTAGTTGAGAAGCTTCCTAACGAAATGGCAGTAGCTTATTGGAACTCGAGACCTCTGGCAAGCCGCATTGGATCAAAATCGAGCCTTCAATCAGAAGTAGTACCAAATAGACAGGTTTTTTCAAAATGGTTTTATTTAAGCTTAATATTTAGTTTTTCAGTTTCTGGAATCCAAAAAAACTGAACTGACAGAATTGGCTGCTCGCGAAGGTGGCGATGCCATCACGAAACCGAATTCGTGGGGAGGCTTTCATTTGGTTCCACAATACTTCGAGTTCTGGCAAGGACAATCTGACCGTCTTCATGACAGAATAGTTTTCGAACAAGATCGTGAAGCCTGGCTAATCAAGAGACTTTCTCCATAGTTCGATTATGTATATTATTTCTTAAAAAGAAATGAACCCGTTTTTAAACCTATATTCGCTTTAATTACTACTTCTTTATATAACAACAAGTGATTTGATTGTACACGATATTAAAAACAAGGAATGACATAAAAAATCGGTTGAAAAATACACGGTAAAGAAAGTGATTGAGAAAAAGGGGAAATACAAAAAATACATAAAAGGGACAAAAGGTGGCACTTAATTCCGGGGGCACAAAGATTAGGGGGCACAAGGGGGCACAACTGATTCGGGGGTACAAAAAAAATGATTTGGGGGTACAAAGCCAAGGGGGCTCAATGGTTTGGGGGCACAAATTCTTAGGGGGCACAACCTAGTTTGATTAGGGGCCACAAAGTGGCTTCCTTAGCTGCAAAACGAGATATGCTTAGGGGGCACAAATTTTTGATGAGGGGGCGCAAATTTTTGATGAGGGGGCGCAAATTTTTGATGAGGGGGCACAAAATTTTTGTTTTTTTGTTCTGAAAGGATTTTCTTCACAATCTTGTTAGTTCTTATTTCGTTTTTCAAATTATTGTGTTTTTTTTGCTTTTTCTTAAGTTTCGGCTTCTTCCTTTTTCTTATTCAGAAGAAAGTTTACAGATAGAATTTTAAAATTCTACAAAGAGCTTGAAATGGATGACAGATGGCTAGATGATGATGATTATGGACAAAAAGAGTACGAAACTTTACAAAACGCAAATTTCTCTATGTTAGATCAAGAACGAGAAGAATATGATCATTTCGGAAATGATTATGACACTGGATTCGAAATTCAATACGAGAACGAAAGCTTCTGTAGTTTGCATTCACTTGTAAGCTGAGAGTATCATCAATAAACATTTACTTCCTCTTTTAGGATCTCGGTCGGAGCGCATTTGTCACAAGGAAAAGTAAAAAAGTTCTATTATCAACTTGAGAGAAACATCAGCGAGCTTAGCAGAAAAGCTATCACTAAAGCCAGAAATGATGGGCGAGTGTCTCGACGATTTCTCGGACGAAAGTACACCGCTTTTTCACATGATAATACTTCCAGAACCATCCGAAGGTACGGTATCGTTTCCATATTGAATTAACAATATGTCCATTCAGATTCGTATCGGCAAGAGATTCTTCTCCGATCAACCAGAACTCTGTATTGGCGAGAAGATCCATGTCGTTGTCACCGATTCCGTTCTCTCCATCCCCAGAATGTTCTGTTGATCTTTCAAAGAACACCACAGGCTTACTATTAGACCTGTCAGCAGCTATGAACGTGAGCTCTGATTCAAAATCTAACGCGAATGTGACTCAAGAAGACTAGGAAAACATGTCCGCCAATTCATGTTCAAGTTCTTGGATATTGTCAGATGAGCGCCCGAGAAGAGAACGGTGTGACTACAATTTTTTGTACTCTAATTTAATGAATACGTTCAGAAAACAAAAAAGAAGATACTCTCCGTCCACATGTTCAAGGTCAGCAAATAGTAGTATAAACTAGACGGAAATAACGCGGAATCGTACAATGCTCATTAAGCTCTCTTGCTTACTACATTTTTCATGTTTCCCACTCACCCCCTATCAAATTTGTTGTTGTTTTTCACTGTTTTTTAATGTTGTTACACTTACCCCATTGATTCTGAAAATGAATCTAATAAAATACGTCCGAAATTTGAGAAGTGCCAAGAAAAGCCTATGCATACTTTGAAAGGAATTTTGAAAGCTCTCTTGTCTTTAAGTTTTCCGAAAATCCTTTCAGAACAAAAAAAAACAAAAATTTGTGCCCCCTCATCAAAAATTTGCGTCCCCTCATCAAAAATTTGCGCCCCCTAAGCATATCTCGTTTTGTAGCTAAGGAAGCCACTTTGTGCCCCCTAATCAAACTAGATTGTGCCCCTAAGAATTTGTGCCCCCAAACCATTGAGCCCCTTGGCTTTGTACCCCCAAATCACTTTTTTTGTACCCCCGAATCAGTTGTGCCCCCTTGTGCCCCCGAAATTAAGTGCCACAAAAGGTTAGTGATAGTTACTAAAATAATTATTATAATGATTATTATAGTGATTATATCGAAGAGAAGGCCTCTAGTTACGTTTTAAACTGAGTTCGGAGCTGGCCCAGCCGTCTCATTCTGCGGGAGACGAAGAGTGTTGACAGTCAACGGAGATCCGGATGGATTCGGAGAACAAGCCAATGGGGGCATTATCGCATACATTCTGCGCATTTCAGGTCCGAAAATTCCGTTTTCCTTCATTTCCAGATATTTGTGATATAGCTTCAGAGTATACCTGGCATCAACGACGGAATCGTGAGAGAACTCCTGAATCGATTCTCCTGAAAAAAAATCGCGATTTTATTCTGATTACTAAAAGTCGAAACAAGCTAAGCATAGGTCGTGCACCAGGTTCAATATATGTTTAGGACATGAACTAGATTTTAATTTTCAGGCCATGACATAGACTTCAAAGTTAGATCCTGACCCATACTTTGATTTTTAAGTCATGACCTAGATTTTAATTTAAGTCTTGACATAGATATTGATTTTCAGTTATTGACCTAGATTTCGATTTTAGGTCATGTCCCAGACTCCTAAATTAGGTCATGATCCAGATTTTTAATTTTTAGGTCATGACCTAGATTTCAATTTAGGCCATGACCCAGATTTCAATTTATCTCGTGACCGATATTTTGGTTTTTAGACCACAACACAAATTTCAATTTTTAGGTCATGAAATTCCAAGTTTACGTCATGACCCAGATTTTAATTATTAGGTTACACCCAGGTTTTGATTTTTAGATCACATTAGTGTGATGACAAGAAACATACTAGCTCACCTAGAACCTCTCTGACCAAAAACTGCAATGAAAGCATCCTTTGAGCACCGAGACGCCATAAATTAACAGTGTCGATGATTTGTGGTTCGGCGATCTGAACATTTAAATTATTGAGACCATCTGAGACGTCTGCTTACATGAACATTTATGACAGCGAAATCGTTATGAACAGCATGTCCTACGAAAACTACTCCTCTCTGAATCAATACATGCATTCGAAGCATCAGACGTTTGTGTGTGGTTAGGTACTTATCCGACGTCTGTGGGGATAAATCGGATTCCACGATGCCACTGAATTTTGTAAGGTAATCAACTACTTCCACATCTTCATCCAGCTTGATATGATCATCAAATATGATCTTTTCTCCTGTTACGTCTAGACATGACGCACGTCCGAGAGCCTTTGTCTGTACTGATTTACCGTTGAATTCGAGAAGATTGGTCTGAAATATAAGGAAATCTCAAATAGGTAACCAAAATTTAACACATGCCTTGATTCTAATGAATTCAGCATCTAATCCGACCAGATCACCTTTCTTTGGAAGCTCATCAATCGTCTTGACGGCTGCCGAATCATTGAGACAAAGAGCAACATTATTCTCAGCAAAAAACAGCTCATCAGAAACATTTCTTTCTGTGATTGCCACTTCATAACCTTTTTGTCTATAGCCAATGAACGCAGGCAGTTTCCATCTCGCATCCAAATGTCTCGCTTCGTGGTCGTGTAGCCTGCTGACTAGTTGCTCATTGATTAAAGTCCAAGCAGTGGAAGCAACTGGACTTTCTCTGAGTAATGTTACAGGATGGGTCCAAACAACGTCCTGTTGTCCATTTCCGATCAAACTAATTATTGCGTCGAGCTCATAAATAACAGCTCCAGGCTCATCGTAATTCGGAACATCCGAAATGTCAGAGAGACGAACTATTCCATCACAAACTTTAGCAGAAATACGAGACGGTAAATAATGCTTCCAACCAAAACCATCAATGTCATCTAGAAGCTTCGTCTGCTCAGCAGCCCAATCAATTAGGCCATGACCGTATTTGCAGGATCTTCTAAAAAATCGAACTATTAGACAGAAAAGTATGTAGCTTCTTACTGATCACGACATGCCTCTCCATATCGACATTGTTTTTTCTCTAATGGTGACTCCGGAACACGCCCGAATTCTCCAAACGAAACTGGCCTGCTTTCGTCAGCTGCTAATTGTCTTTGCCAAAAGTCTAGATATTCGACTGAAGATGTGTTCGTATCTATGAGTAGAACAGGGGAGAGCTCGCGAATCTTTCTTTTGCATTCCATACGAGTCTGTTAAATTTCACATTTTTTTGATAACTGGTTGAAATCAAAGTACCTTCTCTTTGCAATCTTCACATTGTCTCTCTCCAGAATCAGGACCAAGATGAAGGGATTTTTCCACGAGTTGACAGAATGAGGCCTGTTGGATCGAGGCATAGTTTAGAGTCAGAAAACTAACAGTTCCCTGTTCCACATTTTGCACTTTTTGACATCGAACACACCGCAAGTGTCTATCGAATTTGGTTACGACGGTAGAATCTACTGAATCTTCAAAATTTCCCTTTAAAAACTAATAACAGAGTTTCTTGACAAACCTTTATCTGTCATATCGTTGAGGATAGTTCTGGTCACTTGTTGAATTGCAGACAAAACTCCGCCTGTTTTCAATGACACTCCGTTTCGTGCAAGAGCCCAGGCTAGATTCATTGTGACAATTTCTTCCTCTAAGCCGATCTTTGATGGGAACGCAGTGAACAAAAAATGCAATTCGCAGGTGACGCATGAATCATTTAAACATATATGCTGGAGAACTATATTCCGAAGCGAAGTCATATAGTAAACGACTTGAACAACAGCGTTAGCAAAAAGATTCATTGCATGAGTCGATTGCATAGTCACATGTCGGATGACGTTCCATTTATAACATTCCACCGTGTCGTCTGTGGTTTTTCTTCGCCGGTTAGCTCCTTGGATGACTGGAGGCGCCCTTTTCTTGTACAATTTGGAAACTTTCACTTTCTCTATCGAAACAGGAATAGGGCTCTCCATCACTTTCTGATCGGATGGTATTTCGATGAACTCGTGGTCCAGAAAGTAAGGAACAATGTTGAAAAGTTTGAGATTGGTATGTATCCGAGGATTTGTGATTTGCAAAGCATAATGTATCGATTTTGCATTCTTCATTTCTGAAGGTGGCTTTCGTGGTCTATGAACGATTTGCGTCAGCTCGCTTGGCCAATTACTGACTAGATCTTCTTGTGGAAAAGGAATAGGAATAGATCCAACTGAGTGTGAAACATCATCAATTACGAAGGAGACGGGTGGTTGTACTGGCGGAAGAGCGAAAATGGTATCTTTCGAGTTCTCATTCACCAGTGGCTGATCTCGATCGGTAAAAAGATTTACCATTCCTGGAATTCAAAAAAATCATACACATTGTATTTCATTCACACTCACCCATGCTATTCCCAATGGCTAGAAAATTTTTAGTGCTAGAGTAATCGAATGACGTGATGATGGTAGTATCCATGGAGAACTCGATACTTGAGGTGACAGGAGACATCATATCGAGCATTCTGACTCCTGCTGGATAGTTGGTCCACGCATTAGGCTGCACATCGATTTGGTCTCTGTTGAAACATGTCTGATAGACGACAGCTAGACGATCGCAATATGATGGCATGAATCGAACGAATTGTGGACAGTGATTCATTGAGATGGGCGATACATGTTTATACATTCGAAGATCAAAAACTTTGATAAATTTTTCCGAGTGTTTGGATTGTCTGAAATGAAAGTAAATGACTGTGAATGAGAATGATACTGACAATGACAATCCACACGTTACTAAATGATGCCCCTGAACATCGAAATCTAGAACCTTGTCACTATGGCATGTAATAATTCGAACGGTTTCGAAGTTTTTTGGATTTTTGACATGAATCTGTAAAAAACAATGTTCGCATAAATGTTATTGTTGAAGGGAATCTCACCCTTCCCAGAGAATCTGCTGTGAATGTATTTGTACCGTTGTATCGAATGATTATACCAGTTTCGTCACTTTCTAAATCTGTCGTTCGTATTTCTTTTTCTTTCGCGAAATCATAAATAATTAGTTTGTGGTCGAACCCGCCGAGAACAAAAGTGGAACTCCCTGGTAATCGGTGCAATGATACCATATTTTGCATAGTTTTTGGACTGCAATGAAATTTCAGACAACTTTTCTTTTCATTGTTTTTATGATCACTTACCTATAGGTGCCAAGAGGTACTCCTTGTCTAGATGTGGCACGGAGATTTGTACTGGTTAAAGTGAAAATTGCGTTCTCTGTTGGTTCAATATGATGAACACCACTATGTCTTGAGATTGCGAACGCAGTATAACGGGAAAAGTGATTCGTAGGGAGCCAAGATGCAACTTTTCCCTACAATCTAGGTTTTAGTCGAATTAAGCAGTAAAACATACAGTTGCCGACCCTGTCCAGAAAAGCTCTTCATATGGGTCGAACTTGATTGAAGATACCGGATTCTGTATGACAGTATTGATGTTCAGAGGAGGGATATAACGCCACTGAAAACGATCTGTGATCGAGATATTTCTTAAAAGCTTACATCATTTCCTTGACTAGTTCCTGCGTTCGCCATTTTTTATCGAGTATTTCAGAGTAGCTTAAATTAATGTTAGTAGACGATATCTGAAAAAAATCTACTTAAAAACGAGGAATCGGTTAAATAATGAGGGAAAACATGGTTCGGACAGGTGGGGGGCTAGTTTATAGAGAAAAGGATTGCGGAAAAGTTCAAACAAGTGAAACACTGATAACTACAAGTTCTACTAATTTGCTAAATTTTTAGAATCGGCATGTGATAGAAAAAATTCGGTGTAGGTTTACGATAAACCTTTCGCGCCAGCGGGTGGAGCGGAGTGTCGTTGCATTTTGAAAGGCGCGAGAGAAGGGTTTGCGAGTGTGTCAACTAGAGGGTGAATAAGAGCGGATCGAGAAAAGCAGAAACAGTTTTTTTTTGAGTACTTATTCCGATTAAAGGAGATTTCCCGGAAAAAAATCTCGATATACAAATGTGTTGTTTTTCTTGTACGGCGTCGATGAACCCCTTCCGGCGGAAAATATATTTGAAAGCGCATAGCCGGTCATGAAGAGAAAAAGAGAGCACACCAACTGGGAGGAAAAGAAAAAGTGGGAAGAACCATCTGGGAGGAAA